GTGGTGCTGTGGTGAAAAATTACATTACAGTTTACAACTGGACACAACTTGTGTCGCTTCTCAAAGACTGGCAGGAGAACTGGTTATAGGTGTTGAGAAATACTGCTAACTAATGTGTTATTTCGTTTACATTCTTAGATGCTCCACTGATTCCCGCAGCTGAACAAAGCCTCTTAGGAATAGTTATTTTACCCCACTGCATAACAGACCCAGGGGGGTTCTGTCTTCATCAAAACTTATGTGTAAAGCTTAGTGTAAGTAGATGAAGCTCCTTCACTAGCTAAGTCGTATTTATTGTCCATAGTGTTGTTACCGTCAATTATTCTCGCTGTTTGTCCTGTAATCATTACTGTCAGCTGAATTTCTATCACCTCACTATGCACCAAGAATAGAATGGCTCTTCTTGAAGAATTTCGCTTGCTATTTTCCTAACAACATGGACGAATGACGGGGGGAGTCAGAACCTCTTTGTTATGTGCGATACCTTTTACTCAAATCATGTTCACTTGCTCAGGTTAGTTATCGGCTTCCTGCAGTCCGGAATGCGCATGGTCGCCTGCCTCATTCTCTGAGCTCCACACCTTGGTGACTAATTCACACAAGTTGACATATCCGACTCCGAGCAAACTGACTGCACCATACCAACTGTGCACTGGAGTTCAATCAGACAAATGCGTATCGGGTGAAATCCAACCATAACTTTCATGGAGTTCAATCAGACAAATATGTATCGGGTGAAATCCAACCATAACTTTCATAATTGTATGCAACGTAGCCGCACCAATTCATATTTAGATTGGTAAAATTCGGTCGAACCGGTTAGATCCTAGCATAAATCTTATGAGGCCAAAGTGAATTACAAGATCTGCCTGACCGTCTGGATCATCTTGTCATGTGGATTAAACCTGGTCCGGAAGCCCGAACACAGAGGAATATCTCGTCGATGGAGGATGAAAATATTCTAACAGCTTTTTGGTAGTTGAACAGTATTCTTTCGCTATACTATGAAAATTCCGTAATCTCCTGAAAAAGTCTAGCCAGTAAACGCTAAAATACTATTTGTGCTTTGGACGACAGGAGAATCATGGCGGTTTCCAAACAAACGTTCAAAACTGAATCCGCTATTTCAACTGACATTCATCCATTATGAAATACAGAATAGAAATATACCGCATTCATTCTCAGAGGGTTTGTGGTGAGGAGCAAAGTCAAAACTGTCTGCCATTCCAACAGAAATGTATATCCCAAAGAGGGGAGATAGGGCATCAAGTATAAAACAGTTGGCAGAGAGGTGACGAATGAGTTGTGAAGTACGGGGAAGTTCACATCCACGAGCAAGACTGAAAGCTAGCATCCTCATTAGCCCAGTGGTTCGAGCACCATCCGGTCAGCTGGAGCATGGCAGTTCGTGCTCGTTGTAAAACACGTCTCTTTGTTCGTGCTATTTGTATTTGGACTTCTCAATTCAAGACATTCAAAACACTACAAAATTGTTGCATACGACCCCGAGGCGACACAAGGTATAAATAATGATGAGACCGATGAGAATTAGAGATGAAAAGGGTATTCTCGATGACATATTGACGAGTCAAGCAAAGTGGTAAGAGAGAAGTGAAGGAAACTCGCTTCCAAATAATATGGCAGGAAAAGTCACATCTGCAAATAGCATGACTGAGGACTCTGAATTAAGGTGACGTCCTTGTGAAGAAAGCTAAGGACGGCTTACTACAATCAAATAGCTAATTGCAGGCCAGCGGAAACAGCGACACCAAAAGAAAGCCCTAGTGACATGTAAATTGCTAAGGCGACTCCGGCACCCTCATTGTTCCCAGGGGAGGCAAAACTAGAAGGGGAGGGACAAAGGAATATTGAAGAGCAGGTATATGAACCATTTACTTCCTTGAAAGTAGACACATGTGAATACAAACTTGTAACTGACCAAACTTGTGTACATGTGGCATAGGCATGAAAACGAGCTCACCCCCTCCATTTGGTTGTGCTTTACGTCAGAAGACCTTCGTGGATTTTTGCACTGCAAAAGCAGCACGCTCTTGGAAATCTGTCCAGTTGACTAACTGACTCAGCTGCATGATTAAATGGAGCAGGTGATCCTTCACCAGACTCAACAAACAGTTGTTAATATTGTGAGTTTATCATCGAGGAACGACGTCTGCCATCTAAACCTACTTCTGCATAGGCACGAGATATAACATGGTTAACTAAGTACGTCATAAACGTTGAACGCAGTCCGAAAATGTTCGATACGATCAACAGACAGAGTAATGTATTTTAGAGGAATCCTATTTTCCTATCAATAACCCGTTTGTTTAGAGGCAAGATGGCCTCTGAACAACACAAATAAGTCTCTCCTCGTGAAGCCATGCAGTAATCATGAATCAAACACCAATAGAAAAAAATTGTGAAGAAACTTTCATGTTCTGGATGAATTTTCAATGCACTACGCTGCAGTCATGGAGGCTAGACCAAAACCTAAGGAGTGGGTACAGAGAGCTATAAGACCACTACATGGTTCCATCCCCCTAGGGAACTTCTCCCAAGATATTCCATCATCCTGTTGAAGTTAGTTTATTTGTACCCGTGGATTCACAATGTGGCCGAGACATAACCCTGCAAGTGAACAGAAATTAGAGATTAGTTGGCGCACAGATTTGCCAAGCTGTGTTGTCATATTCGCGCATTCCATTCTTCCTCCTCCTTACGTTAGAGCGTTTACTTCTTTCAAAGCTTTGATATGCACATTTAAGGTTTCAGAAATGTTGAGTATTGCGAAACAGTCCATTCCCTATCGATTATATAAAACGCGTTTCGTCACATTTCATTGCATTTTCTGGACACCAAGGAAACCCTTCATAGTGTAGAATACGTTCAATCGGCCTCCCGATTCGCCAGTGGGTTATGTCAAAACATTAACCGATTTGGTAAGTTTATCTTGCCTGCTACAATGTCGCAATAGAGGTGAATGTGTGAGAGGTGGCGGGCGACTTTCGATCTCATGTACTTTACAGGTCTATGATTTTGATTTGGTCAAATGTACTCTACTTCCGTTTGGGCCGTGGAACCAAGCCGAAACACAAACAACCACCCGTAAATGTTAAGTTAAAAAGCATAACAGAGACACATGTGGACAGGATTTGGATGGCAGAGAAGTTTTCCGCAGTGACCCTTGAGAAATGAGAAGAAAGAAAGAGAGAAAAGGAACGAAAGAGAAGAAAGCTACCTGCTGGCCCCAATATCTTCATTTTGACCTAACTGGCCATCCCATATATGCATATCTCATATGCACGACGAAAATAGCAAAACGTAGTGAGTAACATACAGATATGGTTCCGCACATCTCGAGGTTTTGTTTGAATGATATTCATTACAATCTATTTTGTTGTTCGGGATTCCGGAGTCTGAAACTGCCCCGAACAGGAAGAAGATGGTAGCGCACTGTTTGTGGATTTCAAGCAATCGTCTCATGCTATCCGGCTTTCGATTGTTCTTTAGCTAGCACTCCTTGGCATAGTCGATAAGTCAACCAAAATTAAGCGCAAGTCACGGTTAAAATATGAGATAAATTTGACGGAGCTAGAGCAAGGTTAAAACAACGCTGCCAATACCGTCGTTTTCTTCGTTAAACTTGATACACCTTGCTAAAGGATAATCGTGCTTTGTATTAGTTAGTCGAATTAGAGCCATTAGAAAAAAAACTTCTCCGTCTCGCGCGACCGCTACATGCGATTTCGCGTTGCACTTTCAGCATTCATTCGCAAACGCGTGGCAATGGCAATTATCATTGTGAATCAAGCTGTTCAAAGCACCCAAGCACAACTGGAATTGCACTGTTCCGACAAAAAATGCCTGTGAAAGTTTTTCCAATGTTAAATTATTGAACAAAGGAGTTCGTCTGTGAAACATTCTGCCCATCCCGAAAGTGCTTCTTCAATGGAGCTCTGGAATACAGCGCTAGTTTTTATTCACAGAACATTCCCAGCAAGATGAAGATAGTAATCGAAAATGTTGCATTTTGTAGGAAACAGGGGACAAAATCGTTGTCAGTACCATGTAAGGATTCTCAGGAGTGTTTGCCTTTTAACCCGAACCTATAAAGCGCATGTTTTAGGTGTATTAAATGAAGTATCATAAAGGTTTGTTTTACACAACAGAATTCATTCTCGAGAAATACACTCATTTGCAAATCAATTTGGTTTTTACGAGTGACTCAACTGAATCTCCCGTTTATGATATTCGTGAAAACCAAATTGATCTGCAAGTGAGTGTATTTATCGAAAACAGTCCAATTTGGGTTCAAGTGGAACGTAAGGTTGACGGAAACTCGGGGATTGCGCCTACCCGATGAGTCACAAGAAGAGCGAAACCGGTTATGGGCTGTCGAAGAGTTTTCAGCAACCTTGTGAGTAGTTTTTTTCCTGAGAATTCATTATCGGTTTTGCATCTTAAATTAAATGTATAATGAACAGTTTAGAAGCACTGGCCATTCGTCGTTGTAATACATTCATACATGTGAGAAAACCAACGTGATCACCACAGCGTTACCGAAAAACACTTGAATTTTGTTGATAAACCAAATTTTAAGTGGGCCATAGTGGATCGAATTGTTTTCCAGTTCTATCATGCTCAAATCTGCATTGGCCTTTTGGTCGTGGGGCACTTTGTTGGTTCTAGCATTGTTCTATCACTCCTTGGATTATTTTCGCTTCCAATTTTATGATTCGGCACTTGTACTTGCCACCGTAGCTCTGGATTCCTTTTTGGTGAACAAAAGGTCCGTTTTTCTCATACACTGTCACTTTGGTGGTCTTGTCTGCCTCTAATGTTAAATGCTACACATCAACTCATGACATCTCATTAGCTAGCCTAGCTTACTCGCCAACCCGTATGATTATCCGAGAAAGGACTCCACCATTAATATCGAAAAAGACTATAGTGAGTCCGTTATGTTTGGGGATTTCGACGGAGTCGCCCTATACTTACCTGGGTCCATATGTCATGGCGAGGGACAAGAAGTAGCCATTGGTAAGTCCCAACAGAATAACCAGGATGATCGGGTAGGCATCATGGTTGAACACTACTGGTAGATGCTTTCTCGGTTGTTGATTCATGAACATGCACAGTGGTATAAAGACCACACGGGCCAAACAAATCGCAAGGAGAATCCAACGCTGGTTGCGCCGAGGCTGCATGCAAGAATAGATAATAGGACAGCTCAGAAGACAACCCCTGAGTTTAAAGAACAGGGCAGGGTATGTGCATCGATTTAACGAAATGTTTCACAACACTTGCAGACAGCTTGATTCGTTTGTGATCCTCAGTAACTTTCAGTTAGCCTCAAGACAACGAATAATATGACAGCTGTTCAGATACAACTTATTATCAGTGGCTGAAAGTGCACGGGATTAGAAAACCTAGCCTTGTTTTGAGAACACAAGGGAGATAGTCAGTCTGGAGTGAATGATCAGATCAGTACATTGCAAACGAATTAACCGTACGCACACTTCGACCGACAGTTCGCTGTTTGATGCGTGGCTAAGGGTTTGGTCTCAGTGATGTGGGAATCGACCACCAAAAATAAGACCCTTGAAGAGTCGTGCGTCAGGCGAGTAGGTGGCCAAATTTGTCTTAAGATAATTTCCCAAAGCAGGATATCTCATTACCTCTTCCGTCTTTGTTCACACACATGGCTTGATCTCGATTGATCTGATGGCATATGACGGACGCCCCTGAACGGCTGTAAAAAATTTTGAAGGAGCAGGTAAACACAGCTACAACGGATGTGACACCACCAGAATAACATATTATCGTCCAGTTGCAACGCACCTTCAGTGCCAGTAGCAATTCCACCCAAATGACATACAAGGGTTGAGATATTTCCTGGTTGCTCAAAGCTAAACGGTAGCAGCTGAGATGTAAGGGTTCAGTGCGAACGGTGGATCCTCCGGGAATGAAGGTAGCGCCCTAAACACTGACTTTGAAAAAAAACTGAGGCAACCTTCCCCAAAGTAGTCTCCTCTAAATAGTTTCCGCAAAGTGGTCAGCTTGTTTATGATTCCAAGATGATACACACTTCACCGGTATCCGCGTATCATCATAAGAATTAGTTGGCTGCGGCGAGTACTTAACGGGATGTTGCGTAAGGGGACACTTGGTAACGGATCAAAAGCGATAGGACAGCAAATTAAACTTGCCATGTTGAGGTGTTTGACGCCTGTTTAGGTAGGCTCAACCAACTCTGTTTTCTTTCCGGATCGACTGTTGGCACAAGTTTCGCGTGAGACAGCCCATGACGTGGCAAATTCAAAAGGTAGCAGCTACAGTCAGGCTGAACGCCGTCGGAACTATGTACCATTCTGGATGAAGTCTACATGATACCGTGCGCATGCGACTGGAAACCCTGCGGGTCACCGCACCCAAGCGATTCCGTCGCCCATCCTGTCACTTTCCAGCCACAACCACTAGCTAAAGTTTGCCGGTTGTTGTTCTCTGTGTCTACATTGAGTAGGATTCACAAAGGTCATTGGGTCAGGCCAGATTGTGGTGTAAACTGCTATCTTTTATCCACTCTCTTCTCTAGGCTGCATGTATTGTCGCCAACGAAATTGAAATTAATTGGAGCTCAGAGGATTACAAACATTTGGCTAATAAAGATGAAATTTCCGTGGTCCGAGTATGACTTTGTCCTAGAACGAAGAATCTTCGAGATCAGGACTTTAGACGAAGCTATAGGTTGCAAAGATGACTATGTTGACTGTAAAATAACTTTGTTGAACCATCATTACTTGGAGGAGTAATGAGTGTCCTCAAAATATTCCACTATAACATTAGTCGCAAAATGGCGCGTTAGAAACGGCGCGGAAGTGAAACTCTTTAAAGCTGATGAAATATCCNAAGATGACTATGTTGACTGTAAAATAACTTTGTTGAACCATCATTACTTGCAGGAGTAATGAGTGTCCTCAAAATATTCCACTATAACATTAGTCGCAAAATGGCGCGGAAGTGAAACTCTTTAAAGCTGATGAAATATCCTATACTGTCCCGTTGTGACCCTCTTTCGGTGCATGGGCGCCATCCCACCTGAAGGAAGCACGAGGGCTAAGAGACCGCCAGGCTAATGAAAACCAGAAAGGAGCAGTCAAAATGCAGGGGTAAGTCCAAACCATGAACTCTCATGTCAGTGGATCGCACCCTAACCAATGGGCCATCTCGAGTTGTGGACATCCTGTCAACGCTTTGAAAGCAGCTGACACGAAAGGTGATCGCAAGCAAGCATATTTCGTCCTTCATTCAGACCTTATGTCAACAGCGCGTGTGAAGTGGTTTGCTAGGAGCGCAGCTCATGTTCGTTCTGCTGACAGCTATCGTTCCAAAATTTACACGTATAATTAGCACTAAAGACACTGTGTTACTCAACAAGCCTCTGCCAATGAGGACCGACGTACCATGCCTTTGACTTGATGACTTACTGGCCCTAGATCACCAATGACCGAGGCTAATCACGGTGTTTTTGGACTCGATTCACCTAGTGTCCTTGCAGAAACGAAGGTATTTATCTAGGCGGATTCAGAACCGGTGTTAACAAGTGTAAATCCCGAAGGAGAAATTAGCTGACTAACAAACTGGTTATTTTATTGAATGACGCATCACATAAATTGGATAACAAACGGACAACGAATAATGGATGTTATTTGTTTTGTCAACCACCATTTCTGCTAAACATCATGAACCTTCTTTGCAAGTGAGTTACCCTCTTTCCTGTGAATGAACAACTCACTGGATTCGAATTCTCCCGCAACTCGCTCAAGGACCATCACGAAAGACCAAGCGATGTACCTCTACCGGTGGACTAACTTACACTGATTGACAAATTGATGGGGAATTTACAGGTGGTGGATCAGAGAGCCGTTGAGCTATCCGCTAAGTGTAATAATTAGCTTACGACCGTTTCGTCCACATTAGGAAGATATCATCAATGCGCATTTGAGTGAACGTTTCAAAGCTAACCGCCATGCTCAGCCAACAGACTACTAGTCAGCCATCAGTAGAGGTACCCCAGCTACCAATGTTCTCATGAATAATTTGATTAAATGTGCCATTTGAGGGAGCGTTATCCCTAAATTAAGATTATGCTGACACGACGAATCTAGGGAAGAAATAATATTGAAATTAGTTCACAATGCAAAAGATCACAATGCTGGGTAGGGTCAAAACGATCAAAGGACTAAGCAGATATGATTTCGTTTCGCTAGTAGGAGTTTTAGTTTAGACTGGGATTAGTTGTCCTCACGATCCCATAGTCTATACTTTACACTATGAGATTACCAATGTACCGATCGGTGTTTGTGCATGTAAATCAAACTTACTGATAGGTCCCCATACACAGAGCCAAAACTCCAAACCAAGCGTACGTTTAGTACGCTGATACTATGGCCACCCAAACGTGTCATTTCCTTTATCTATCGCTCCGTGCTGTAGCAACCCCCTCCAAATGGCAACACGTTTCTTCGAACTGGACCATATGTCAACTGAGAACGACGTTAGTTTTTTCCGAATGCAGACATATGGATTTATTTGAAATGTACCACCACAGCTGAGATTAAGAAAAGTTAGCTGAGAATTCGAGTGTTGATTCGATTGGTGATCGTTTGTCATACCTGACTGTGGAGTTTCGCTAAATATAGATAGTGCACACTTATGTGAGGACTGACGACGTTTCTCCGTTTAATATGCGTGATAAGCTTTTCAGGCGAAGAATAGTCAATGAACAAAACTGATCGATAATTTTGTTTTGTGACTGTATTTCAGTGACTTTATTCCTATGGGACCTTTCCCTTCAAAACTGAGGAATCTTAGCTGGTCTCTGAAAAAAGGATACGTTATATTCGTAATGCACTACTCATTAGGTTGCTGAAAATTCTTCCAACAGTCCCTTGCAAAACCTAATTTGTTTGCAAATGAGTGTATTTCGCTAATTTCGTGCAAGTTGGTTTCAAGTAGAACAAGAGTTTGATGGGAACTCGGAGACTGCGCCTACGTGATGAGCCCCAAGAAGGGCGAAACCGGTCGTGGGCTGT